ACCTTTCTCAAGAGCTTCTGAGTCCGGCTCGTGACGGACTGGTTCGTGTGGCCCGTTTTTTTATGGTTCAAAATACTTGAATCCGACTCGAAAAAATATGGGTTGGTTCACGAACCAGCCTGCGAGCCGGGCTCATTTTACATCCATGCAGGTGTCTACTTATATTAACTTTTAATAAAAACATTAAGAGCCATTGAAATGAGGAATTCATTCCAAATTGTTCATAAAAAGTATTTATACAAACTCAAATCTAAACCGAATACTAAACCAAATGTTAAACCGATACTCTCTAATAACTTACTCTACAATGTGTGTTGTTCTGTACCTTTTGTGTTCTATATATATATGACCCAAACTTGGATACATAATTAATTACTTTATCTCAATGACATAACCAAATGGATATTACCAAATTAAAAGTAAGGATGTCAAAATGGACTCCTCTCGTGTGACGACCCATATTTTTTGAGTTAGGCTAAAAAAATTTGTGTTCGAAAAAAAAACCAGGGTGAACGAGCCAACATAACACGAGACGAGTTCATGGTGAGCCAGTTCATCGAGTCCATAAATTGGCCGACGAGGCAGAATTTTTTTTAAATTTTTTTAAATAATTTTTATATTAAATTGTGTTTCTAATATGTATTTGATTTGTTTTGTTTAAATTTTTAAATTTTTTATTGTATTATAATATTTATAAAAGTTTTTTAATATTTAAATTTTATTTTTTAATTATAGATTTGGCTCGCGAGTCGATTCGTTTGGCTCGTGAGTTATGGTGAATCGGATTGAACAAATAATTTTTGGATTGCCAAAAAACGGTTTAGATTGGGTTGGATTAAAAAAATCTAACATCGAAATAGATTAGAGCGGGTCATGCCGAACTATCCCGTTTTACACCCTGATTAAAAGTTAGAGCGGACTATGTCTTAATTATAGCATTCTTGTACTATATATACTCTATAATTCATTTACTATGTAACTTCCTCATATTCCATCTTCTCTTATTTTCATGAATAAAATGCATGTCTTGCGTGAGTGGCCATCCACTAAAGCTCAAATGTGTGTATGCATGCATGCATGCATGTATGTATGTATGAGGAAAACTCTTGCTGAGATAGAGGGTTTGGATTTTGGGAAGGAAATCCTGGTGATTGTGTGTGGGCCCAAATATAATGGAACCCTAATTTTGGAGAGATTCCCTCATTTACTTAAAAAAGGGTTGATTAATAGATAAGCATTCACGCAGATAATGTACCTAAATATTGTTATGTTTCCATTAATGACAACTCTTTGGAATCTCAAATCAAAGATTTTCTTCTAATCATATCAAAGATTTTATATATATATATATATAATCATGATTAATTACCTAATTTGGAATTAGTCACGGATGGTGATGTATTTTACATTAACATTTACCACTAAAAGCATGAGATGCTTCTTAATATTCTCCAAACCGGTTTTCTGAGAAATTGCGTTTTGCGTTTCAGTAAACCGGTTTTAGTTTGGAAAGGTAATGACTCTTTTGGTATTCAAATGTAGGAATTGGAAAGACAATTACCACAAATGTGCAAATTACCAAAAAAAAACAATAATTATTATAAATTATAAAACAAATGAGTTGAGATTTTTTGCCTAAACGTGATCAGTACAATAAATTAGACTCTTCAACACCTTCCTCCTCACTCGTGGTTTTACCCTCTTTGCTTTTTTGCCTCTTCTTCTTCTGATGATGATGATGATGATTTGATTCTCATCGAAATCTGTAAACATTGGGTTGATTTCGTGGAAAAAGAGAGAGCTTCTTCTTCTTCTTCAATGAGATGAGAGTGAGAGTTTGGCTTCTTCACCAAGTTAGGGCTGACACTGAGGTACCTAGCTGGCTCGATCTGATCCGTCTCGAGCTTTGATTCTACTTGTCTTTCAGCTGCTGAATCATTATGATGGATGGAGAACGAGAATTATACGAGACCCTCGAATTCTCGGCCATTTCAAGGAGAGAAGAATCGGAAGAAGAAGGAGATTCTGATGATGGTGCAGGAGCTAAAACCATCGGTGAAGAACCCGGAGAAGATGGTGACGACGATCATGGAGCTACTAAAATGGTGGAAGAAGCGGAAGGTCAGAGGCATATATGCTGCGAATGTGGTAAAGCGTTCAAGTCTGGGAAGGCTTTGGGAGGGCACAAGCGAATCCATGGCTATGAGACGAGGAAATCCAGGGAGAAACCGCCCAGAATGATCATACCTCATGGCGCGATGAATCTAAATCCAGATCTCGTCGATGGATTCGTCGGGGATGAAGTGGAAGTGGCTTGCTGTGTTTGCGGGAAGAAGTTCACTTCCATGAAGGCCTTGTACGGACACATGAGGTTTCATCCCGACAGGGGATGGCGAGGTGTTCAGCCACCTCGTCCAGGTTCCTCATCTTCAACCCTCTCCGTGGATCATGATCGCGAGTTCAGTGATGAGGTCACTGACCTGAAGGAATCACTCAAGGGATGGTCAATAACAGGGAAGAGAGGCAGGAATAGCTCCTTGAAGATCGAAGCAAACCCAGAAGACAATAACTTGCAAGAAGCTGTCAATGATCTACTGATGCTAGCTAATGCAGAAACCCATCTCCAAGATCCTGGAAAACTGGACAAGAAGATCCGGAAGAAGAAGAAGAAGAAGAGAAGGTTGTCTGATATGGGGAAAGCCTCGAATCAAGGCGAGCTTGATGCTGATATCAACAGTAACAATCCGCCATTAATGGCTGGTGTTTACAAGAAGAAGCACATATGTGTGACCTGCAACAAATCCTTCCCTTCATATCAAGCTCTTGGAGGTCACAGGGCGAGCCACAACAAGGTCAAGAGGGTCGGAGCCGATGCCTTACTTGCATCAGAAGCAACTGGATTAGCCAGTGCTCAGGGATCGAACACATCGGTCTCTAGCAGCGGAGATCACCAATGCAACATCTGCCGGAAGAGATTTCCGACGGGACAGGCTCTTGGAGGACATAAGAGATGCCATTGGATGGGACCAGCTGAGACAGCAGCCTCATGTTCGAGCCAAGCTACAGAGCTGACGACACAGGAGATGAAACTGCAGAGAACGGTCTTGAACATTGACTTGAACGAGCCGCCACCAGATGAAGAAGAAGAAACAGTATAGAGATGTTCCAAGTGAGGTGATGTCAAAAGGATTGGTATGATGGGCAAAAAAAAAATGTTGACTTTCTTCATGATTCATTTTTAACTTATAGTCTGAAACCAAAGGGTACATGTTGAATTAAGGTTAGAAAAAACACAGAGAGAGAGAGAGAGAGAGAGATTTGATTTTGGAGTTTGGAGAGAAACCCAGTTTGGTTCTTGATGTTCTTGTTTGGGTTTTTGTCTTGGTTCTTTTGCGTTTATGCTTTAGTTAACGTAAAAGCATAGGAGGATGGTTTTTCTGTTGTGGAAAAAATCCAAAAAGGAGAGTCTCTATCTTCTCTATCGCTTCCCCTTTTTCTTTTCTCCTTGAAAATTAAGATTTGTGTAATTTCTTCTCAACCCATAGCCTGTTTGATAAGTTATAGTCAAAGCCAATTTGCAATTTTTCCAGAAATAATCCTTGTTAAAGTCTCCCCATTACTCAGAGAGAGAGAGAGAGAGAGAGAGAGAGAGAGAGAGGATTCTCATCCAATCATCAAGATTGAAGTTTTGATCAGTTCTATAGGGAATAGTCTTATGAACAAACCTGTGTTTTTTTTTCTTTAATTATTTGCTCGGAGAAATTGATAGAAAGGGTCCCTTTAAAAAAAATGTCTTAACCTTATCTGTTCCAAAGGATCAAACTTCAAAAGTTTTACAAGTCCAAGATATCACCACTTTGAGACACCTAACACAAAACCACAAGATAGCATTCTTAATTACTTTGGTCTAAAACCCAAGACGTGTAGGCATTGTTCTTTGCCGCGTTTGAGCATTTCAAAGAATATTTCAAAGGGGCTAATAAAATGTCTCTGTCAAAGTCTCAACCTTTCTGCTGCCTATCATAGGACCAGTTCTAGGTTAGGGTTCCATCAGAAATCAGAAAAAAAAACATGTCTTACCACTGATTGTATAGGTGATGTGATGTTATCAACGGTTGTTGAGATATCTAAGACAGAAACATGATATTTTGCAGCATATACACATGATGTCAACCCATTGCAACACACCCAAAAAAAAACAAGAAGTGGTTTCTTGATTCTATTACCAGAGGAGAAAAAACCAATTTGGGGCCAAAAAAAATGTTGTGAGAAGAAGCAAGAACAGCAAAACCCAGGATGGATCTTTTCATGTGGGTACAACAATTTCTGATTCTGGCAACATTTGGAAGATGAACAGACAAGCCACTACTAGCAGCAACACTAACTGTAATATCAAGCATGTAGTAGTCCTGCATGCTTTCCTCTTGATATTCTGCATCTCTCCAGCTTCTTCTACTATATCTTCGCAATGCTTTTTCAGCTCGACTGCTCGGTATTTTAAGGTTGTGGCTTTGGTCCCTGCTTCTCCGAGCTTGCTCGGCACCTCACGAGCTTCTTCACCGGCCAATGCCTTTCGTTCTTCCAACAGATTCATCTGATCGTCTGACACCGTCTTTAAGTTTTCTATTGATCTTGACAGTATCATGCATTCGATCTCAGCCTCGACTTTTTGCTGGAATGCATCTTCAACCCTGAGTTCCCTACCTCTGTATCTCTCCTGCTTTGACTCTGAAGTGCTTGAACCTTCATCCCCGGAAGATCTGTTAAGATTAATGGCGGATTCCAGTTCACGAATCTGTGATTCTTTCGCCTCAAGCATAGACCTTGTTTCCTCCAGTTTGACCTCCAAGTATTCTGTTCTTTTCGCCAAGATTGATATATGGGAGTCTGAAGAATTGGAATCCCTTTGCACTACCATGCTGCTACCAAACCGGTGAGACGAACTTGCTTCACTTGTTCGTTCTCCTGTTGCATCTATAGAGCCAATGTTATCTGCACCATGATGTAGTGTCGTAGCTTCCTTCCTGATCTCCCGGAATTTCTGAATCTCTGTAATGGAAGGCATGGATAGGCACACAAAATTTGATAAGCGATCACTTCTATGAAACAGCCTTAGACGGTCAAACTTATCAGGAATAGCAAAATCAGAAACCATTAAATCAAATGAATACCATAAAGGTGAAATGCTTACCTTTCTCAAGAGCTTCTTGCAAGGTCAGGAAACTGTTGATGGACTCTGCTAATGGGTCCAGCTCTCCAGAGGAACAACCGTTCTTGTTGATAGACTCTGCAGCTGAGTATCCTCGTGAAAGATCTTCATGTTCTTCTCCCACATTATCTTTCCTGCATGAGGTTTCTGCCTTTTTATGGGCTTCTTCACTATTTTCTCCATTGTAGTCCATCACTTTTTCCGCTCTTCTTTCTGATACTCCAACTGCAGAAAGCACCCTGCACAAAAACAAAGTTGGAGCAGTTTGAGACAGACTCCATGCTGGAATCAGAGTTTTCCTTCTCAATTTTGGCCCTTTCTTCTCTAAGCTTCCTAATGTTAACCCAACTTTTTCTTTGGTGAACTCTTTGAACCGACTTAATCGTAGTCTTTCCACCCTAATACTTTGCCCTTTGCTTATCCCACGAACGACCCATTGGCAAACCATACCTAGCCTCAGGAGCACTAATAACAATTGAGAGCTCGCTAGTGCGATCCCCACTGTTTTCCAAATCCTTGCCAGCTGAAAAAGCAAACCCAGCTGCAAACCTAGAGTTAAGACTAGAGCCAGGTGTTTCAGAGCAATCGGCTGCACCTATAATTTTCAGCAGATTTACAGAACCAACAACCAACAGAAGACTGACTGTTTTGTTCGGCTTCTGGTGACTGAAAATGCATTTGTTTAGCGTGCGAATTGCCCAAACCCGACAACCCCTCTTCAGAATTTTACTATTCTCCAAATCTGGGGACGAATCCTTCACAGGATCTCTCCTTATCGGTCTCCATTTCCTCAAACCATAACCCTTCTTCGTAGAAGGAGACGCTCCTCCCGGTGAATTAACCGGTTTACCAAGCGTGTTATCATCCATATCAGCTTCTGCTGTAGGAGCAGATACGGGTTTCTCCTTCTCATCTAAGCATGGGTCATTATTCAGATTCCTTCCTTCAGCAGCAGCATTGCCACATTATTGGATCACGCAATTAGCATCAACAGACTCAAGAACATATACTTCACTCCCACATCCACTACTACACAAAATCCTACCCTCCACTAATTTTCTCCCTCCAAAGTCAAAATGGATCGATATCGAGAACAATAACCGCCAGTCCAGCAGTAAACAAAGTTCAAATCGATAAACCCCAGAAAAAGCAAAGAAGCTATCAGTTCTCTCAAATTCAATCATACGCGACAGAATTCATCACAATTCACAACTTTACGACCAGGGTCCTTTTTACATTTAATAGAAACCCTAGAAAAACAAATGATCGCAAAATCGAATTGAGCATATAAATCAATCCACATGAATCGAACATACGGGAATTGAATCGAAATTGAAACCAACGTACCTAAACGGGGTCGTCACAACATAAACCAGTGTGATTCCTTATACAAAGGTTGAAAGGAATCGAAGATGTTGGAAGCCCTAATCCGATGATAGATTCGTAGATTTATTATACCGTTGAAACTTCTGCAGAAGAAGTCTGAAGATGGTTAATTCGATCAATTCCTCTCTCCAATTTTATATCATTTTTTATAATTCCTAGGGAAAATTTGAACGTGGGGGGCGTCTAAGACGATTACGTGGCGCAACCGCTAGGGCCCGCAGCAAGAGTCGGACAATTATTGGCCGTCCGATTGGACATGATCTTATCCGGTCGGATCTTGAGTTCCACGTCGTTAGATGTACCGTTAGAATTTATTTGGTGACTGAATTACCAAATTGCCATCATATATTCATATGTGCTCCATGCTACGCCATCTACTTCTTTCACACATGCACTGGTTGCCGTTTGTTTGCATCGAAGACAACGATGAGTTTTTCATAAAATTGGATAAACGCTTCGTCTTTTTCTTTTTAGGGTAGTACTGCTCACGTCTGTTTCATCTCCTTCTCTCCATCGGGTGGCAGCCCCCCACAATTCGACAGCATATAATCTAAAGTTGGAAGATATAAAAAACCAAATTTAATTAACATAAATACTACATTATTATATTATTTGAATCCAATATTGAAATTAATCGTGTATACATTTATCAAAATTAAATTAATTGAACGTGAAATGTACTTGGATAGAATAAAAATAATGGATAAATTTTGAATGGCAGTGGAACTTTGTTTTAAAACACAACAATTTTTCATCTGAATGGAAAGTGAATCAAATAGATATAATTTTTATTAAATAAAAATAGAAAGATAACGAAATAAATAAGCTCCTACACAATTTTTTTGAATGCTTTTCTATATTTTTTTTTACCCACGCCCCCCGAGATCTTTATGGTAATTACAAATTTATTTAGTGTTACTCTTTTACTGTGACAGTCACAAGAGGTCTTTGGACCAATTCCCACTGCGTATCTGATTCAAATCCGTGACTCTACATACATATATACATACATACATACATAATTACATGCAACACGTAATAATATGGAATTAGTTCGTCAATTTTTAGATTTATTTTCAGCAAAATTATTTTAATTTATTGGAAAAATCGCAAAAACACTATATATTTATACTTATTCACGGAAAAAACTTACTCTTTAAATATTAACAAAAAAACTTATACTTTTTTTAGTTCTAAAAAAACTTTATATTTATAACTTATCCGCCGAAAAAACCCTTGTACTTTTTTTATTAACTTATCCGCCATAAATATAGAGTTTGTTTAGACAAAAAACCTTGTACTTTTTTTATTACTAAAAAAACTCTGTATTTATATTTATTTACCGAAAAAATTTAGTACTTTTGAAATATTAATAAAAAAACCCTGTACTTTTTTTTATGACCAAACAAACTCTATATTTATAACTTGTCCGTAAAAAAAAATCTTATACTCTTAAAATATTAGAAAAAAAAAACCATATATTTTTTTTATTAAAAAAAACTCCTATACTTATAACTTATTCATCGAAAAAACTTTGTACTTTATAAATTCTAACAAATAAAATCCTAATCGTAAATTCTCAAAAAATATGGTAAAAAATTTGTCTGAACCGATACATATCCGAACCGAATGGAACTGATTAAAATTTCGGAAAAATATTTCGGTTGGGTTCGATTCGATGAAAAAAATTAACAGAAAAAAGTAACCCAACCGAAAAAAATTTATTAGAATTTAATCGGTTCGATTCGGGGAAATGTTAGATGGTGAAATGTTAAACAGTAAAAAATTCGTCCGAAATTTTTTCAAACAATACAGTTCCATTCGGTAAAAAAAAATTAACGAAAAAAGTAACCCAACCGAAAAATTTATCCGAAATTTTAATCGGTTCAATTCGGTTCGGGTATATATCGGTTCGAATAAATTTTTTACCGTATTTTGTGGGCGTTTGTGCTTAGAGTTTTATTTATTAGAATTTATAAAGTACATGATTTTTTTGGCGAATACATTGTAAGTATAGGGTTTTTTTGGTAATAGAAAAAATATAGATTTTTTGTCTAATATTCCAATATTACAAGATTTTTTTTTGTGAATAAGTTATAAGTATATGATTTTTTTGTAATAAAAAAATACATGGTGTTTTTATCTAATATTTTAAGAGTACAACGTTTTTTCGGCGGATAAGTTATAAGTATAGGTTTGTTTGACACTAAAAAATGTATAAGGTTTTTTTTGCTAATATTTCAAGAGTACAAAATTTTTTGGGTGAATAAATATAAGTATAGAGTTTTTTGAGTAATAAAAAAAATATATGATTTTTTGGTGCGCGGAAGAGTAAAGGATTTTTTTGGACGATTTGCCCTCATTTATACGTATATTTCGGTATTTTTCGTCTATTCAGTTGCATTATGAACAGTCGGAAGAACAAAGACAAAAATGCATGTATGTGTGTTTTTTAAAAACTTTGGACCTTTTTCCGATACATCAGAAAAGTACAAACACCAAAAACAAAAGGAGCAGAGAGAATGGCTCGCTTTCTTCAGGGTCCCTCTTTCAAGCTCAAACTAAACCAGTTTCCCAAACCCATGTTGGATTCAGCCCTAATGGGATGAACCCATCTTTTTAAATCCACGAAACAGTTGTGTTTAGATCTTAAAAATCGAATCTTTCATTAAAAATCCCCAGAACCTGACACAGAGAGAGAGAGATTTCGAGATGATAAAAATGAATTAAAGTAAAGAGGGTTGATTAGTGGCGATGATTATAAAAAAAATGCATTGGTACATGAACATGTAGACCTCAACCCTCTCCAGCTGCTCCCTAAGCATTTCTTTAATTACTAACGCACTATTTTAATCCCCAAAGCTCTGCATACCCAACTCACACCCCAGATTCCATCCCCGCCTCATTTGCAGAGAGAGAGAGAGAGAGAGAGAGAGAGAGATGGGTTGTGAGAGAAATGCAGGGGAAGTGACACGTCGTTGCTTCTGTCTCTGAATATAGCTGAAGGAAAAAAAGAAGAAAAATGAATCCAAAGGGTAAGTTCTGAACTCCATCTTCTTAGATTTGACCAAAAGTTTTTGCCTTTTTTTCTTCTTGTTCATGTTCATTGGTTCTGACCGGAATTCGAAACCGGAATCTTCAATTTTGTGAATGAACAAACACGGCTCGGAACAAAAGACCAAACTCAATGGTGGGTTTTGTTCTTCCTTGTTCGGCATTGTCATGATGCTCGTCCATTTTGGAAGGATAGGGATGGAGTTTTCTCTCTGACTCCGCGCCTTCCATGTTTGCAGATCCAAAGCTTTTGAGCCATTCTGGTCAAATCTGAAACGAGAAGAGGAGGAGAAAAAACTAGGATTTTCGTTGTGGGTTTACTGAATCAACAACAGTGTAAGAGGACCCCACAAGGTGGAAGGACTTCAGAATACATCACATGCTGATTCTCAGATTTTACTCCCTTCCCTTCGAACATCACTAGCTGTTGCATTCAGATTCTGACCATTACCACACTCCCACCCACTTGATCATAATCTGTCGGAGAAGACAACAATAATTCGGACCAAGTTAGAGAGAGAGAGAGAGAGAGGGAGATGGGTTTTACCTTTGGTGGCTGAGCTGAGAGCTTCATGGAAGAGACACTGGTGACGAAATGGGGAGAGAAGAAGCAGCAAATTTAGCAGGGCTTACCATAAGAACATCACCAGCAGCAAGCTCATCAAGCGATAAGACAGGTAAAGATCTTCGGACAAATGGCACTTGTAACAATGCTTCAGATTCATCTCCAAGCATAAAGACCTCTCCTTTCAACTCGCCTTCTCTCGTGTCCCCACCATCTTCTGCCTTCGTTTCCGCTTTGCAATCTCCTTATATATCTCCTAGAGCCACAACAACCACTGTCGGCTACAAAGGCTCGGAGTGTGAAGACATACCGAGCAGCTCTTACACCCCTCTTTCCGACCAGTATGAGTTTTCCGATGACCCAGTTGACCGGAAAATCAAGTTTTCGGCTTGTGCTTCGGATCCTGTTCCTCCAAGGATTTCGTTCTCGTTCCCAGTTCCGAGGGTCTCCTTCGCTAAGGTCTCGGTCTCTTCTCCTGCTACCAATGCCAAGCTCAGGAGCTGCGATGTCTTCATTGGGTTCCATGGTCAAAATCCTAACCTGGTGAGGTTCTGCAAGTGGGTTAAGTCAGAGCTTGAGCTTCAGGGGATCGCATGTTTCGTAGCTGACAGAGCCAAATATTCGGACACACAGAGCCATGAGATCGCGGACAGGGTTATCTGCTCAGTCACGTACGGGATTGTGGTCGTGTCTTGTTCAAGCCTGCTCAACTACCTCAGCTTGGAGGAAGTTAGATTCTTTGCCCAAAAGAAGAACTTGATCCCGATTTTCTACGGAACTGGACCTGCAGAGATAATGGCTCTTCTGAACTGCAATTCCATCGACAAAGAGTGCAAAGAAGCCATTGATGGACTGATCAAGTGCCATGAATTCAAACTCGAAGCTAATGAGAGCAACTGGAGAAGCTGTGTGACCAAGACTACAGCCATTCTCCAGGCCAAGCTCAGGAGGAAGAGCG